AGCAGAGCGTTCGATCAGTGACGTTCTAATAGTAGTAGTTGTCGTCGTCGTACTAGTAGTAGCAGTAGCAGTAGCCGTCGCAGTAGCAGTAGTAGTAGTAGTTGTTGTTGTTGTTGTTGTTGTTGTCGTCATGTGGTTGGTGGAGCCCAAGCGCAAGCAGATGCACCCGCAGGTTCAGGCAACAATACCGGCGTAGATTGTTTCTGGTCACTTGCAGGAAGCTAGGACGAGCCTAGAGGTCGAGTCCGCAGTGGCGACAACACCCATGCAGAGCCACCACATGATGAACATTCAAGCACAACGATACCAGCAGTCTTTAGGCTTAAATCTTAATTGGAACGTTGGCATGCGTTAGCAGCGAATTTATCCACGTTTGGTTGAGGACAGGGTGTCATCCATCGGGACATGAAGCTCGAGAACGTTCTAGTGCATGGGGAGCGCCGTGAACGTCCATTGATTCTCTACACTGTGAAGATTACGGACTTTGGCCTTTCCAAGGCAGGGAGACGACACTCAGAGACTGTTTGCAGACAAAAACAGGACCAAAATGATAGGATGCCCAATTCCCATGACAGTTCCATGACTTATGAATCCGGTTGACTAGATAGGCGCGAAATGAAGACCTGATCCGCCTGTTAATTTAAGTGGCCTGCGATTGGCATCAGATGGATTTTAGCGATTGACTTGTTGGCGTTCGGTTAGACCAAGTCCAGAGTTTGCATGTTTTGCTCCATTCTGTAGTGATGTTCCCCTGGAAGGCAATAGGAGCTGGTTTCAGCGAAGCTCGATCTACGGTCGGCACACGGCCGTACACAGCTCCTGAGGTTCTCAGGGAGGATTCGCACGACTTCAGTTCTGACCTTTGGTGCTTGGGTGTACTGCTTTTTGTCCTGCTAGCGGGGCATTTCCCCTTTTCGAAGATTCCTTTTAAGCAAGAAGAATTGCAGATGATAGTTGGCAAGCTGAAGATCAGTGACACCTCAAAGTCCGTGGTGCTTGGACTTCTGCAGCTGGAGCCACGTCAGCGAACAGACCTGGCAACTTTGAGTCGCCACGAGTGGTTATGCTACGAAGTGGAGTCTCCAGATGAAGCCGAGAAGTCGGATAAACCCAAGCGGACTCGATCTGTAAGCGCCTCACCCTCCATGCGGCCGATGGCACCCCAGCCGTCTCTCACAGGACAGGTCAACCAGGTGGCGAGCGTGCCCGCCAAGAAACCCACGGAGTCACCTGCAGAAACAGTTCCCAATGAAGCGGGCGTGGGACCCACGGCTAAAGCTGAACCTGGAGCTGCTGTGCCAGAGCCACCACCGCCCACAGAGCAGGGTCCGGTGAGTCCAGTCATAGTTCCTCCACGCGTTGACGTGCCACAGAACCTCCAGGTTGTTCCAAAGCGATCCATCTCGATGATAACGACAGGCGAAGTCTCACCACCGAGCTCTGACCCAGCAGTGATGCAGCTGCATTTGGTAGTGCCTGACCGGCTTGCTGGCACGATTATGGGCAAGAGCGGCCCGCAGCTGAAGCAGATCTCCTCGACCCTCGGGTGCCAGGTACGCATGATTTCCCGGAAGACGGTGGGACAGCACCGCATCATTGGACATCACCGCATCGTGATATTCGGCACCTACAACCAATGTGTAATTGTGCAAGAGTTGGTGCACGGGCGTTTGATGGACGCACTGCGCGCAGAGGGCAAAGAGCCCACAACGGAAACTGCTGTTGTTCTTTTCGTTCGTGCAGAAGCTGCAGGAATGGTGATTGGTAAGCAGGGCTGGGTACTGAAGCAAATCCGCAAGCAATCCAATGCAAAGATCCAGCTGCTGCGAGAGGAAGTCCGAGGTCAACGTCCCTGCATTATTGAGGGCGAGCTGCAAAGCATCATCCGTGCCGAGAAGCATGTCTTTGACTTGGTAGCTGCAGTTCAGGTTGTACCTCCCAATGCCCCCGCACCAACCACGGAAATGGGTCAAAGTCCGCGCTGGACTACCTCTGGCCCATACTTGCCACGAACTCGCATCAGTGCAGAACCTCTTATTGGCAAAGTGGTGTTCTGGAAGGGTCAGGTGGGCTGGATAGAGCCCGAGCATGCAGTCAATCATCCAAAGGCGTATGCCCACAAAGGGCAGCTTTATGTACATTCACAAGATGTGTTGAACGGGGAAGCGCTGTCCTCGGGCACACAAGTGCGGTTCCACCTCTATGAGGATAGAGCAGGTCTAGGGGCCGAGCAATGCTATGCTTTCTGACCAGCCGTCACTTGAAACAAGCGCTGGGGTTGCTCGGCAGCGCTCGGCAGCACTCGGCAGAGCTCGGCAGATCGCGTGCCAATGCACGGATGATCCCGTTGCGAGGTCGGGATCGCTTCTCGTAGGGCGCACCGACTTGACTGGGAATGATGCCGGCAGCTTGCTCGAGACCTAACGGGCAGCTGCGAGTCGCCAATGTCGGTGCCCTGTGGCTGCGTCTAAGGTGGCAGACAGGGGGCGATGCATCGTCCAGTTGCGGGCTGAGCGATCCGGAAGATCACGGCGGAAGCGCATTTCGACAGCCAAGTTCTCAGGCCTCGCGTTTCTCGACCAGTGCTCTGTGCCCTTTGCCCGGCGTTTGCTGCAGTTTGAAGTAAGCTTGTACGCTGCTGCAGACAGTCTTGATGCATTCCGTGCCCGCAGGTCGGGAAGCACGTTGCCTGCAGGAAACATGGCATCACCAGCAATTGTCTTGGGGGCCAGCTCCCCGTATGCTGTTTGTAGCGAAGCAAGCGAACACAGCGGCCTGTGTGTTTCCACTTGAGATCAGGCTCTAGCCAAGCTTGTGCTGCAGCACCCCAAGCCGACATCGTGACAAGCGAGCTGGTCGACCTACTGCAAGATGTCATGGCACTGACTGAGGTGGGACTGCTTTGCACCCACCATGCGGAACGGCACACTCGTCCCTGGCCAAGTTCAGCAAGAAAACGTGCACATCCCGATCGACTTTGTTCCTTTCACAGGCTGCAGCACTTCGGGCGGAGGCAAATTTGTTCAATGTACTTCTCATGCGATCTTGGGTGGGTGCGACAGGCTGGCTCGCGTGCCACTGTCGCTGGCGATGGGCCACTCGCCATGCATCTTGATCGTTCAGTCGCCGTTGAAAAAAGCGTCAATCTGCTGAAGACCGATGAGCTGTAAAACTTTCATGTGCAGACTTGCGTCACGCGGTTACTAGGTAGCGTTATGGGTTGCGATTTATGTTTGTTTGAGACCTTCTTGGTCAATGAGCTTTTCCGGTGTCGTCGGCCTACGAACTATTGACCCCATCTGCCCCATCTGTCCAGATCTTGCGTCAGTGTAAACTTGCAGAAGAAGATTGATGCCGAGCAACTCTCATTTTGGCAAGGCCCACGCTGGGATGGTCAGGGTGGATGCCACGATCTCGCACGACAGCGACGCCAAGCCGACAAGATTTGAGCATGCTTGCAGTGGTGACAGCTAATCCAGCCCGAAATCCTCGCCTGGTCATGCCGAGTCGCGACATAACAGTCTCACAATGACGAGTGTTCAGCTGCCGTCAGCTGCATTCGGCAGAGTATGTTGGTGTTGGATGCAGGGTCGACAGCGGTCCTGCTGTGGGCGCAGGCGAGTGCCGTATGAATCATGAAGGACACGCTGCTGTCTTTCCTCCGATTCCTGCACGCATGTTCGACAGGCTTCAGCATGGAGCAGTCTAGACCGTTACATATAGTCAAGAGACCTCGATCTCGGCCAGTTACTAACCACATTGTCGCGGTCGACTCAGGTAGTGTCGCATGGCTTGATGTCAGTGGTGCTCCTGTTCTGTTGGCAGCTAAGTTCTTTTGTCCACTGCAGTTACAGTACCCCGACTTGCGCGTCAGAATTGCACGTGAGGCAAACGAAGCCAAGCACAGCAGCGAAGTCGCGCCCATCCTCTGCCTCGACCACGTCCGGACCCATGTAGCGACGTAGTGTCTGGATGTGGCCTCTCTCTCAAAAAGGCCGTCGCGAAGCGCTGGCTCGAAGGAGCAGCCCAGAGTCCGAAGCCTTGGGACGCTTGGAGCCTGCCTCGTCGAATCGCCTGAACTAAGCCGCGATCGTCCTCAGCACAGTCCCAGTCCTCGGATTTGGCTGCAGATGGCACCCCGCCTCGGCCTTGGAGCCAGAGCACCCGTAGAGGCCAGCAGACCGCCGACGCATCCACCGTTGAATTTGTAACCGCCCGTGCAAGGGCAGGCTAGAGGAACTGAGTCTCATCCTGCAGTGCTTCTGAGCCTGAAAAGCCCTGCTTAGGGCAGGTTCACCTTACGAGCTCTTTAGGGCTGGAGCGGGAAGCAAAGCGAAGCCCGCAGCTTCTGCGCAAGGTATGAACGGTACATAAATGGTAACTTGGCGGTGTCGTGGTGCTAAGGGGTGCAAAGCCGAAGAAGAAGAAGAAGGACAAGTCCAAAGGCACTTCTGGAGACAAGGCCAGGCTATGCCGGCGTGACCAGGAGAGAACTACCAAAGTTCAAAGGTTGCTAAGTCGATGCAGGAAGAAAAGGAACACAAAGATGCAGAAGCAAAAACGGTTCAGACCTCAGTCAAATTCGGTTGCGCACCAGCGGCCTTCTGGGCTTTGGCTCCACATGCCCCCCTTCTAATATGACCTGTCCTGCCAAGGAGAGCGCTGCCGGAGGCCGGCCCGGGATCTGTCATCCGACAGGGGTCTTGTCTCTTGGGACCGCTGTGATGCCGGATTGTCGTCGGACGAGCAATATGAATGTTCTCAGGCGAGTCAAATCAATCAAAAGCCGCCTTTCGCGCTTGATCCGAAAGTTTTATAGCAGGTCTTGCATGTATTTTGCATACCCCAGCCTGCAGTGTCTGGGTAACTGATTCGACCCGAAAGCAGTCGCAGAATGGGCCAGCATGCTTGCAGACAGTCGCAGGTGAGAGCGGACGCAGTGAGGACGACATTAAGAGTGTGAGCCAGATCTTTGCCGATCTTTCCTTCAACAGGAGCCGACACCACCGTGGTCGTGACCACAGTGTGACAAAACGCGAGCTTTATAGGTAAAGTAAATGCACGACGGCAATGCAGAGGTCTGCAGAGGAAGCCGACACAAGCACTGTCGTGGACGAGGTCTCCGAGGCTTTGGGCACTGATGCTACTGCCGTCTGCAGTTGGAGCCGACACCCCGCGTCCAGGCACCGGATCGATCCGGACAGGTGCGTGAACTCAGCGCCAGAGCGTTGCTCTGTACATTGTATGTTTTGTTGTACTGCACCGCTGTATTCTTGCTATTTCTTGTGTAGGCTGCCGAGGAGGGAGGCCATGACGCCTGGCTCAGGCTGCTCGGCGAGAGCAAAGTTTGTTGTTTGAGACTCACGAAACTCGAAAAATCACGGGCAATGTCGCCGCCATATCGGCAAGAGAATTAGAACTTTCAGTACCCCAGTTCTCAGGACCAGGATGGAGAGATCAGCCGGCTTCGGCACCGAGGTTCGCGTTTGTTTCAACTGGGATTCTGCCTCTTGTGCTTCGCATGATTTGCATCGCACGCCGCATCACCCCGCCATACGTGCCGTAGTCAGACGTCCAGTATAATGTTCTGCCAGGGTGTGCCCCACATACCCAATGCCAAGCACTTTCATGCGACCTTTCGTGCATGTGCAGGAGGGGGACAGATGGACGCTTTTCGAGATACTGGAAATGTTGGCGACAAAAGACAACCACAAAGAGGAGACAGTTTCAATGGTCGTTCGTAGTAGCCACCTGCATCTTGGCCACAATAATGTCTTGAATGGTTCTGCTTGGCTGCGATCGTGCTCGAATCCTTGCCAGGAGGTTCTGGACAGCGTGGGTCTGAGTGGCCAGATCAAGCCACAGGACACGGCAGCGAGCTTACCAGCACGGCATACGGTGGAATCTGAGCGGCGGGGCTCGTGAATTCGAAGGAACGCGGCTGGGCGGAAGTTACGGAAACAAGCATTCAAGCAGATGCAAGCAGGTCTTCACTCAAACTTCGACCAACTGAAAATGCCCAGCTTATCGAGTCATCGAGGTGTCGCCTCACGCAAAGCTGGGTCGGCGGATCTCTGTTTCTTGCTCCTTTCTCTCTGCCTCTCTGTTATGAACATCTCTGCACGTGTCTACAGTGTCTACAGAGTCCAAGCCTAACTTGGCACTGTGACTTGTGTAGTCCCTCCCCCACAAACCTCCGGCGCCCTGAAGAAGCTCCGCCCCGGACGCTCTTCATTGGTCAGGGGTTACAATACAAGCAATACCCGGCTGCAGGGGGAGATATGCACTCTAGACTCTACTGTAGAGCTTAGACTGGTGTGGGGGTGGTGCGTCCCGAGGGGTTGTAAAGGGAGATGAGTTCTTTGTACTTCACAGTACAGTAGTGGTATAGGGTAGAATAGTACAGTGGTACAATGTGGTACAGTAGTGTAGTAGCACGATAGCCGTACAGATCGTACTGTTGTAGTACGACAGCAGTAGAAGTAGGAGTAGGAGTAGTCGTCGGTTTACCTTAGCAACAGGCGATACCTTTTGATGCCTATACAACAAGAGAATTCAAAATTTGTTCTTTCGCGAGTGAGGTGTCGATCCCCGTGTAACTTGTTGTATAAACACCAAATTTGTTTGCACCCGGGTGCGGGCGGCATTACAGTTTGTGCTATAGCAAATCCTCGTACAGGTGCGTGGGTGTGCGGGTAGAAATCATGTTAGACAACAGCCCTTCGTCTGCCAGACCTCCGCAAGGTGCTTGGTTTCGGCCGGAGTTGCTTTTTACCTTTTCCTTTCTGATCTTTTAATGAAGCCATGGACTTGGTTTCTGCTCTATTCTGGTCAATAACCTCATTGCGATTTGGGAGAGGATGAACATGGTTTTTGGTAGCTTGGTGGTCTGCTACATCCCGTGCGGCCCCACAGAAAGAAACGCAGATTCACAGTTTCACGGGTTCAAGATCGAAAACCGGAGATGTTGAACAAACTGGTCAAAGTCCACAGAAGTATCAGCGAAACGACTGCTTTAGTACTCACGGTGTTTAGGCGAATAATGGTGTTGCTACTCCGCAGCAGGCGAAAGCTTGGGGTATACAACAACAACTGTATATCGTGATTCACGGGACCGGATCAACGACCCGGCCGGAACTCAACACTTCGTGTCATTGGATCCCTTCCAGCCGTTAGATCTCGAAACTTCAGTGCATGCAGAGACCCATGTGCGCCCCTGCCGACTCGCTCGCACGTGCAACTACACTTGCGCGCAAGAAGCTGCAAGTGGCTTCGGCATTCCAGATGAGTCTGAGGTTTATCTTCGTGGCCATACCGGTCGATGGAGACACTGCTTGTCATTCCAATGTCAGATTGCCACGCGTGTATGGCTTGCGGCGCTATCGTCTTGTGTCACGAAATGTCCGGTATGGCTTGCACTCCAGTTGCAGGATGGCCGTGAAAGATGGCCAGCTACTGAGATGACTGAGCTGTGAGACTTCGATAATCGAACCACAAGACACGACACAGGGCTCCATGCAGCGAGGCACGCAGGTGCTGTGCAACGCAGCCGATCGAGCGCAAGCCGCGGCGTTTGCAAAGGTCTGAGATTCCGTCTATAGGCACCATGTCTGTGGGATCTAGCAGGGGAAGTACTGCTCGATCGAGGTCATTGAGTTCAAGGGTCCCGCTTTGAAGAATGATTGCCTTGAGCTTACAAGATACACTGTGAAAAATCAGCCTCCTTTGCATTCCCTGCAAGATGCAAGATTCTCGAGGCCGAGTGGGCTTCAAGCTGGACTCCACAGATGGACGATTGCTTTGGCATTCTCCCTAGCCTCTGTGACTCTGTGACAGCCTGCGTCTGCATTCAAATTCAAGTCTCAACCTTCGCTACTTGCGAACAAGCTTGAGAGGCTTGGCGTATTGCCATCGGGTGATGTGGGGCTGATGCAGAAAGGCCGAGACCTGCTCGACGTAAGAACACACATGACTGTGTGATCCTCCTATCTCAATTCAACAATACAAACTCGCGTTTCCGGGCTGTGCAGCTGTGTATCATCCGAGCAAGATACACGAAAAAGTTGACAAAGGCGACGGAGGATCGGATACCTCAATGCGTTTCGTGGCCACAGACTCAGCACGTCAAGTGGATACGCTGGTTGTGATCGTGCCTACACAGGCAAAGACTTCTTCACCTGCAGCAGTGTTGTCTGGAACATCAGCCGGCACCTGAGAGAACTTGCCCCAAGCCAAAGTACTTACGAAGCTCATTAAGCTCTGGATTCTCTTCGGTCCTGACTCTGACCTGGGAGCAACGAAGTCGGGCGCAAGTCATGATGGGAAGATATAGAAAACCTCAGATGTTTTTGCCAAGGTCCATTTCAAATCCATGGCAACGGGCAAGATGATGGAAGTAGATGGTGCGGACGCGTGCTTCTTGGAGCAGCGGAGGAATTGCACAGAGACCAGACCCGTCGCTTGCTCCAGGTGCGTGCGCGCAGCAACACTGAAGGCACTCGACAAAGAATAGCAGCAGCGCTCTCAGCACAGATCCTGTCTTTCATATTGTTTTTTACGTTTTATAGCCTGGCTCCTTGGAGTTTAATTTGGGTTTTGTGGCTTCCCGGGCTCTTGCATTCACTGCTTGACACAGATCGCTTACAGCTTTACGGCTTCTTGGCCTCTTGGCTTTGCCGCTTTCCGACCAGGTTGCCCCTTGGCTTTGGATTTCTGACTTCTCGGCTACTGGCTTTCTGGTCCTGGATTCTTGGCTTTCAATTCCTTTCCTTGGCCGATCAACTTCTCCGAGAAACATGGTCATCACATCTTAGGCTACAGTCGTACGTCATGACAGCAAACCCCTTCGACATGCCAGGTCCGTCCGAACCATATAACATTCTAGGGCCTGGCAATTCAGGAGGATGTCTTTTGTCTTTTCATCGTTGGATCCTTTCACTGGAGTTATGCATGCGGGCCGTGGGCAATCCTCCCCTCCAAACCCGCTTCCTGTGCCTTGCTCCACACTTTTAGGCAAAACTCTGAATACTATTTATGATGGTAAGCAACCAAGGCGCACGGAGTAAGTGGTGAAACCAACCTTCGGAAAAGCAGCATGCAACTGCAACAATGTGAACAAATTCCGAAACTACTTAACTACTCTTCTCCACATCTTTCATCTGGTTGTTTTCTCGGTTTTAACAAAGAGTTGCAAGCAACTACTCGGAAAGCGTTTATTCGACGCACGGAGGAGTGCATCCGATAAGCATGATTGCTGCAACAAGTGTAATAGTCACGGTCCAAGCCGAGGTTGAGAAACTGGCAGTTGACATCTCCTTGTCGGCAGCTCTGTCTGTTACCCTTTATATAGCACCCTGCATGTCAAAGCAATTCTGGCTCCAAGGCCAGAGCCCTCCCCTGATTTGGATCTCACCGTGGAGCAGAAGGCGTGGCCAGGGCACGGCCATGGACGGACCGCATATGCAAACTGCGAGCTTTGATAGTGTTTGAGAAGAGATCTATCTCAACATGATCTGATCTCAAGGCGTGGGCCTATTTGCAGGCGGCCCACTGCGCTTTGGTACCTTGCCCTGAAACCGTCACTTCGTTAGGCATCAGCTGTCTTACATGTGCAGCCTCAGGTTGACAGGCAGAACCTCGCCCGCTTTCTCAGTGTGTGGCTAAGCACTTGCAGCTGGCAGCTTTGCGAACCACTCGCTTGAGCTGCTTCCGGATAGGCAGCCCCAAGCCACACTGCAAGGAGCTGCTCAAGGCTTCAAAGACACTCCACAGATTTCCACCGCCTTCAAACGGCAGTTCACTTGGCCTCCAGGCATACACGAAGCTATGGGAGTCTGAGTGGTGAGGGGCCAAGCTGTGTTGGATGCAAGCATACAGAAATTCAACAGTGAAGAGGCGTAGCTGTCCAGTCCTTCGAGCTTTCAGAAGCGAGCACAGGCGTGTGGAATGGAGGCAGACCTTGGAGATCCCAGAGGCACCACCAGCTTCACCATGGATCACCATCGCCAAACTGTTTTTTGTACTTCGTGCTGACGTATTTTTAGGATTTTTTAGGAACCAATCAGACCTAACGGCCCGAGGGCATTTGCAAGCGCGGCGAGAGAGAGAGAGAGAGAGAGCTCGGCAGGAAAGCGCCGCCAGCTCGCCTGGCAGCCGGCAGTTCTCTACTTAATTACCGCGCTCGGACAGCAGAGCAACACAGCCTACGTACGGTAGCCTGCAAGGCTGCAACACTTTTTCTGAGGCGGCAGGAACAAAGCCGCCACTGTGCTTTCAGGTCATCCAGGAGTAATTCGGCTGGGCCTGCGGCGGCTTCAGATTCTTCGCGACCCCGAGCTCGATCCCAGTTCCAACCTCAATCAGTCCAGCGTGAACCCGCGGGACATGATTTTGTCCTCCTAGGTCCATTAGAAGACGAATGAGTAGAACTGTCCGCCCCCAAGCTGGCATTGAGCCTGTGTGGTTCAAAGTGACAACCCAGCCTGTTTGGAATGGCCATGCCGTGATTCGACGGTGAAGTGTCCTGATTCTGTGTGACGAAGCACCAAGGACTGGATCTTGGGCATGGTGGGTGGCGTGTCGTCTACCGCTGATGACAAGAGCAACGGTAACTTGTTTGTGCCCGCATCTTGGATCATTGGATGCGGTGTGCTGAAGGGACAGAACGACTACATATTGTTAAATTCATTTGAACTCAGGTCGGCGATGCGCTCATTCTTCGCTAATGCAATCAAGATGTCGCAGCTCGAGGCGGTTTGGTTTCTGCCTCTTCCGTACACAGAGCTGGCGGTGGTCGTGGAAGCAGGCTGACCCCGTCCAGCGGGTCATCGAGGCGTTCGCAGAAGCGCTCGTGCCGCCCTCTGACTCCTCCAGCCCCTAGCCGCTTCGTGTTGCTGTCGTTCCAATGTCATGCCTCACTGCGAGGTTGCGGATGCTGCATTCCTATCGTGTCAGCCGCCCTAGTCGTGCACCTCTTGCCTGGCAATCGGGAAAGCGCCCTTGATACCAGGTTTCGAGGCATCGATGCTTCCTGAGAAGGAGACCCGACCTCAGAGCCGCAAAGAGCCATGCAGGGGCTGGGGCCCGGCCTGCAACAACGGGTGAACCAGGATACCAGGGCCGGTCGTTGTGCTTGTGTTTTGCGGCACAGTACGGCTAGTATGCAGCATGTGAACGATCACTTTGTGCCTTATCATCCCTCACAGCATGATTGATCCTTTGCTCTGCCTTCTGAGAACTGTTCGTAAGCTGTCACCAGGTGGCGTACATGATCGACTCAGTAAGTCTGTGTGGCGAGTTATTTAAGACTTGCTGAGCAGCCTTCATCTTCCAAGCAAGCTCTATGGAGAGACTTGGCGACGCCCTTGTATTGTGGTGCGGACTGTAGCTGCGCGTGGCTCAGGCGTCAAACATATCGCAAGCCAGACGAGGTCCTCTTCGGTCTCGCCTATACAACGCCTGTGCCCCTTCAGTCCCAGCCTAGCTGGCGGCACCAGGCCATAACCCAGTGCAGGTTAATGCTCAACACCGACATGCACAACAAGCAGGTTGTGCCATCCTCAGGGCACTCTTCGTATCTCTTCGTTCAGATTTTCACGAAACTGAGACATGCGCTGCGAAATGTTTGTGGCAGGCTTCAAAGATGTGGGACAGTAAGAAGTTCGCAGCATCCCCAGAGACGTCGGAGTTGTGACGTGCTTTAGAAGTGCCTGTGCCAGGTTGGCGCAGGCAAAGGTTGCGGAGTGTGCTGGCCTTGGTGGCAATCAATGCTGAAAAGTAGATTGAAGGTGAAACTCCGACGCGGCTTCGCCGAAAACGACGGTTGCAAGCGAACCTCCCCTTCCTTGCAAGGACTGGTGGCTTGATGGCCCAAATTTACAAGAATGTGCAGAGTGAGCCTGGGTCGCACTTAACGGCAAGCATAAGCGAGTGCTGAGTGGTCATACCGGTGCCATCTGGCACACATGTCATCTGAATCGTTGAACCTTCTTTGCTGATCCTGACAGTGTTGCCGGCCACTAAGGAGGAGATCTAGGTCACGCCTCTGCGACGTTCTTGCAAGATACAGCCGCGATCGCAGTTTCATTGTTGCCTGAATTGAACTATTGGGTGATGCAGTAGTTGGAAGAGTTACAGTGCCTGTAAGCATCGTGGAGTATCTACTGCTTCGCATTGAAACGTTTTGAAGCATTCAGCATTACGTGTTGCATGGTTTCACCACCGCGAGAAGCCGCCTGCGCACATGCAACTGCATGACGCCCAGCAGGTGAAACCCATTGGCCCGTTCACGCTTCAGGGCTTGCCTACCGCCTTGCCTCGATTGTGCCTCAGCCTCTTACATTCAGTTGAGCTTCCCTGCAGCCGCAGTGCTCAATGTTCTCCGAATTTCTTGTAGTTATGGGCGGTTAGCGTTTCACTCAGAATTTCGGCAATAGCCTTTTTTGCCACCTTGCACGACCCTGCACACCTTGCACGGGGGCTCAGCGTCGATGAACACAGGTGCTGCCAGTAAAAGGCTGGTGACTGTGTCCTAGGCATTTGCGCAAGGAGAAATCCTTGAATGGCCAAGCCTTTCACTTGGGACTTCGAACCCAGAAGCGTCGCCTTCAAGCTTCAACTGCCACGCTCTCGGGCGGCTGCTAGATTCCGCTTTTGCTTGGCGAGCTTGGAATGACAAGGCAGGCTAGCTTTCATCCGTCAGTTGGTGGATGTTCCGTATCGCTGTCCTCCCCTCAGCGCATGGCACAGCACAGTTTCTTCAAGCCCAAAGATGCCAAAGCTATCTCGAACTCAGAGCAACGAGGCCCTTCTTGGGTGCCAATGGAGATCTTGCGGCTCCAGTAGCAGTCCGATGCTTTGAAGACGTGTCGCATTTGCAGAATAAACCAGACTGTATCTCCTTTTTTTAAGGTATCGTTGAGTTCTGGCGAGACCAAGCATCGCCAGGCTGAAAGCCAATGTGTGCGGGAATGTTGAAAATATGTGCGTCCGTCGGCATGACTGCAGGCCGGTCCAGGTGGGCGCAGTTCGAGACTCGGAATACCTTGGCACAGAGCAAGAATCCGGCAAGCCCTCGTGAAAACGCACATCAAGCAGAAGTTCTGACATGTTGTTATAAGTGTCATCCCAAGACTAAGTGCAGTGAACTTGGACCACTGTTCCCTGGTCTCGGTTGCGATGTCATTTTTTCCCACACATACGAGAGTGAGACGAATGTTGAGCAGTTTTCTTTCTGCAATGCTCCCAGCTGGTTGTGGGACCCACCATGTGAATCGACAGTGGCCAACCCCGCTCCTTCAGATCTGCTGGCCGAGGAGTTTAATTTGGTGTCTCCTAGCCCCGGTCCCTGTGTACTGAGATGTACTGAGGATTATTCCGGAGGATTTTTCAATATTTTTCACGAGACTCACTAGACGGCAAGCTGGGCTTCTTCGAGAGATGATGTCACGGGCAGTGCCCTGACTATCTTCGCCTCTCAGTGTTTATCAGTGAACCAGGTGCGCAAACGGCAAGTGTTGAGAAGGACCTGGGAAGCTTTAATGCCATCATCCAAGCTCTCGGCGGCTGCGAAAGCGCTACGTATCTGTGGCAGCGAGCATGGACATGAGTCATGAGGAAACGATGATCAGGTCACTTTCGAGTTCGTGAAAGGCATCCAGAAAGCCAAGCTGCCCATCGCTGTTGCGTTGGAAGGCACCTGCGGCTCCAGTCCTTCATGCTTTTGCCCTTCTCGTGCAATCATGTGCATTCGCTTCAACGACGAGTTTCTGGAAATTCCCGGTAGATTTTCAGTGGCAGTGACCTTTTCTGATACTACCAGGTAGTCCTACCAGTGAACCAGTAATTCCATGTCCTAACCATCTAGAGCACAGGCGGCCGGGAGATTGCCAGCCAGGCACACCGGCATTCAACTGATCACCTGGTCTAAAACTAGACTAGACACGTCACCATCCTCCTGAACGACTGAACCTGCCAGCCCCAGCATGCAGTTTCTCCAGTCTTGAGGCAAGGATATGCCTTGGACCGCTTCTTCTTACCGGAAGCAAGGCTTTGAGCCACCCGGCGAAAATCAACCTGTTGCTCAGAGTCTATGCGCTGATCTGCTGCGCTGAGGTCCGGAGCTTTACCACCCTGGAGAGCCGCCGAGGCGAAGTCGAAGGTACCACTGCCGGAGCGCCAGCTTCGCTTTAGCCCGCACGGAGGTCAAAACGGCTTCGCCCGCGCAACGCGGTGGCAGCTACCTTCACTGATTCGCTCGGCGTGCCTCGACAAAATTCAAAATGTGCAGTTTCTGTGCACATGCAGCCACCTGCAACAGCCTGAGTGCCGGGCTGGGCATACTCTTGCACTGAGGTTGCTGGGCTCTACAGCTTGGATGTGCTTGTGCGGGCCTGGGAATGCGGCATACAGAATTCGGGATGGATGTGTCTGTCATGAGCATGCCTCAGATAAGGTGCTGATGGACAAACCACTGTTAAGTGAGGAGATGCTCCAGTGCAAAGCTCGGTTCCCGCGACTTCAATCAAGACGCGCTTCCTTCCCCCTGCTCAGGCGCCTCATGCCCGCGTGCTTTCGGGTAGAAATGATCCGCGGATTGCCTAACGAGCGGGGCCCTGAGCCTCCGACTCCGCCTCCAAACCAAAGACATCGACCAAACACGGGCCCCGCAAACCTCCCAGGCAATGGCTGCCTCAGCAGTGCGAGGTGCGTATTTCTCCGTCATCCTGTGCCCATGTCTAGCAGCAGTGATGCCACGTCGCTGCCACGTGCTCGTGCGGTGGCATCGTCGTCGTCCTGGCTGTTGTTGCACGCTGGAGCGGGCACGGAGACCTTGACCAACTCCTTGACCTTAATGATGTCTACATCTGGGAATGCAGATGGCACCTGGAACGTCAAGTTCTGTGTTCCGAGCGCAAAGTATGAGACTTCATACCAAGCCAAGTAGCTGTAGGGCCTTCATGCAATCTAGGAACGGTGGGCGGCGCGATGGTCTACAATTCACGCCATCGGATGCCTACAACTCGGCACCGTCATTTTCGCAAACAGAATGACGGCACCCGGATTGTTTTTTAGATCGCGACGATGTGCATCTTCGACTGCCCCATGTTTAGAAAGGTCAGTTGATGGTGCAGTTGCAAATTGCCTAGATGTCCACGGTTCAGTTTCCCCAGGATGCATGCGATGATGACTCTGTTCTGAGCAAGTGCTGGCGCAAAGGAGGCTGTCATTTCCAAAACATTGTGGCGCAGCGTGGAAAAGTATTTTTCCGGGACGCGGCGCACGCTGTGGCCCTGTGCATATGCTCTGCTCACATCCTACAGAGGTCCTACAGCGAAGCAGACGCAGGATTCCTGCGACCCCGGAAAGCCGGCTGAATGGTATGTAAGTTCCAAAACATAGGCCACTGTTTGGCATCGAAATCTGCAAATCCCCCCCCACCCCCCAGTAGTGTTTGGGGTGGAGCATTTTGGCAGTGCTCCTGAATCCAGCCGGTACTGGTGAGGTGGCCTGATGGGGTGTCCTGGTAGTCTGCTGGTGTTGGTCTGCCGGTGGTCGTGGTCAATCGTCCTGGTCATGGTACTTGTCATGGTCTTTGTGGTGCTCTACCAATGTTTGGGGATCTGCGCTGGCAGAATTTTCAACTTGTTCTTTCGCGGCAGTTCGTCAAGCAAGTTTAAGGGCAAGCTTAAAGCCCAAAGGGAACAGTGCCCCGACAGCCCTGGCCTGAGGACGCGGATTCAATTAGTTGCTTTTCCATAGGAGTGCAGCACCGTTTGATGTGGCTTCCTCGCCGATTTTGTGTTGAAAGTCTTCGGATTTTTGCTGTCGGACCGCTTTCCGCTGTCGGTTGTGGGAGAAATGCGCTGAAGTGCAATGCCGGCAAATGCTTCGAGCGGCTTAGAGACGGGATTTTTTAGATGATGCCGTGAAGCCACAACGAACGCGGTGTTGACGAGTGGGAATTTGAGCGTTGCAGGCTGTCCATGTCGAAGTTTACCCGAAGTTGAGCAGCGCATCGCAAGTCCTGAGCCCGAACCCCAGCGTGTGATCAGCGCACAGCTCTTGCAAGAAGTAAAAGTTCCGCATCATGCTTTCTTAAGTGTCTGCAGCCGAACTTATGGAGGTGAGACGTGCCCCCGTATGAGATCGGAGAGCAGGCTTCGATAATTCGGGCCGCACCTTCGTCAGTGGAAGTGGGTGATGTATGATGCATGCGGCCATGCAGTTCCTGGCGGCCCGGGGTTGTATTCATACAGGCCGCACAACACAACAGCCGACTTCAGCGAACCGGTTGTGTGGCAGCTGCCCAATTCTGGCGCAATTCTCACGTTGGTGTTGTCACCAGAAATTGCCTGGCTTCGAGGCTGCTTGGACTTGCGTCGCCCCATGCCCTTCGCGAGTGGATGCAGCACGAAGGTCTTGTGGTGGAGGCAGAGAGAGCGAGAGAGAGAGAGAGAGAGAGAGCCGTCTCGGCCCTTGACCCCTAGCAAAGCAAAGCAAAGCCGTGCTCTTGACTGTGTGGAAGAAGAGAGAGAGAGAGCAAGAAGTGTGGTTCGGGATGCAGGCAAGGGAGGCGTGAAGGCAGGTTTAAAGGTGTAAAGACATGGCGGGAGACACACCTCGGCAGCCGAAAGTCGGAGGAAAGTGCCCGTAGGACCGGGGAACAAACCTCGATGGTCTCACGCCGACCTGCTTTGGACGCGGGACGTTTCGAGCCCCTACGAAAGAGGGGGCGCCTTGGCGCCTTAGCTCGTGAGCAAGCCAGCAAGTTCAGCAAGAGCAAGAACCAAAAGAGAGTCAATCCTTTCTGCTCCGGGCGTAGAGATGCGTCGACTCCGGACCGCAACAAGCCGATCCCTAAATTCTCCCAGAGCGTGGAGAGACACCTGGTCGCACCTGCACCTTCGTCGGAGCTCAGACCGACACATTTTGGTGGGAGGCTCGGTGCAGCGTTGGAGATTGGGGATTGTTTGTGTTAAGCTGTTAGTGCGTGATACCGGATACTTCTCCGCCCACCTACACAACGTACTGTGC